CTCGGACTGACGCGAACTTTTTCATCAAGTCTTCTGGATAGCTCCTGTTGCTTGAGGAAGAAGATAGTCGCGATCGTAAATTTTCAATACCAGTAACAATACGCTCAACAATACGCAATAATACACTCAATGCGTATCCCTGGCCCTTCCCCTATCTCCTGCATGGGCTGCGCCTCACGACACGTCAGCTCAACATACGTGTCAACGAATGATTGGCATATGCGTTTATCCGTAATCCCGCTTATATCATCTCGAACCATATCCACACGCATTGACAGTGATATCCAATATCGAAGTGGAGATGAGTCAATTATCTCCAATTAGATGAGACGTAGAAGCGCCAGGTTTGCCTCTTATCTCGGTTAGCTCTTGGCGAAGCGTTTTATTGGCCATATCGCCGTAACACGATACTTTTATGCTCCCGCATTGCCGAAGACACAGTCAGTGTAGCGCTTGCAATCAATGAATGCGCCGTAGTTACAATATTGGAATTCCATTTTCGTGTCCAACAGCAGTAAAAGAGGGACGGGGGCGTAAAGACTAACGTTTACGGTTAGTTATGCTGTTGGTGGCGCTACGCATTCATCTATTCTTGTGGCTCTACGCACCGGTTGATTGGTTTGCGTCGCTGTGCAATGAGGGCATAGACCTGATCTTGCGCAGCGCTCTGTATGTGATGCGATATAGTTCCTCGCAGATCATGCTATGGACAGCACCTACCCTTGTCCTCGTCTGCCACTGCAACTGCTCTGATAGGCTAGTACCTAGCATACCCACATGCGTGAGTGGAGCTCTGCAGTTTACCTATACGCTACGCTCGATGGAACGTTGCGGCGCAAGGATTGCTTATAGCGAATCAGAACTGTGTTTCTGGCACTGCCGTTGCGTTTTCGACATGTCAGTGCCAGCGCTGCGCTGCCTATTGGCTGCTCATGTAGGCCTGGCCTAGTTTCAGCCTGATGCGCCTTGCACGTCTCCAGAATGGACATCATTTCCGACTGCGTTATGTGTATGCTCGTCAGCAGTCGTATATATACTAGTAGCAGAGAAAGTAATTAGAGAGATGTGCACCAGTAACGCCTACAAGTTGCAACTCATACTCACGCTTGTACCCCACGAAACATGTCCGCCATAGTTACCGAGGAAGCCTTCGTCGAAGTCCTTCGCACTCAGGTGCAGCAGATAACGAGCCTGTTATCAGATATCAACCACCAACTGAACGCTTTAGAGGAGTCTTCATCAACGACAAAAAAGCAAGTCGAGAGACGGCAACTCCGCTCCGGACCAAAATCTGGGAAGCAACAGCGGCTATATCAGTTAGCTAATCAGATTGAGAGATCTAAGTCTCAGACCCACGCCATCTTTGAACAACTTCTCGATAGAGTAAGGGCCTTCTCGAACACAGATTTAACATCATTGAAAGCTCAAAACATTTCGAAAGAGGCCGTAGCACAGAATTCTACGTGCTTTGGCAATCAAATCGATCAGATTGAACAAGCCAACATTAAGTTGATCACGAGCGGCGCTACGGTCAAAGACAAATCGACAGCCTCCAGCAAAATAAGCGCAAGCACTATCCCCTCGATAAATGTGGTACCGACGAGTCCTCAGGAGCCTCTACATGGGCACGTTTTACCCATCTTGCCACATGATCCACCCAACGAGCAGGCACCCAACGAGCAGACACAAGCTCCACGATATCCATGTCAACACTCACAGCTTTTCGAGAACATGGCTTCAACTATACAGAAGGCACAAACCGACCTTGAACACAGCAAGGTTGCTGAACGTGGCTACCTCATACTAGAGTCTAGCCCCCTTGACGAAGACTTATCTGAATTTTGGCATGGATGTGAAGCGGCGCCCCATGACAAGAACATGATACAGGGATTCATTCTTCGGCCCCATGATTCTGGTTACCTAGAAGTTTTAGTGGATCCATCAGCTTCCATCAATCTCACCACTATTCCCTCATTTGAAGAAACATCCCAGCCACCACAAGACCCAGAACAAGACTTTCAGAATTGGATCGAGCAGCCCCAACAATATGGTAAATATTTAATCTGCGATCCACTCAAGGAACACAAAGTCAACAAGATCCTCGATGCAGGATCACTTAACCTGAGACCTCAAATACCTGGAGTTAATTCAGCTTACTGGTACGTAAGCTTTGATGCTGACACCCCGGCCCCAATGCACATGGAAGATGCCAATACGGGATCTGCAAACCTGTTGCTTGCAGGGGCAGACAAGCATTGGCTTATCATCCATCGCAGTAGCGCCTCAGAGTTTGAAGACTGTGTCAAAAAAGAGCTTTCTGGAGGTGATTGTTCGCAGTTCGTTCGCCACCAAGACTTCATTCCTGGTCCGCTGTGGTTAAAGAAAAGAGGTATTGCGTTCGAGATTGTTGTTCAGAAACCAGGAGACATCATGTGCACGCTCCCTGGGCGCACGTACCACGCTGTCCGAAATACGGGCAAGAATTTTGCCGTTGCCATAAATTACGAATTCGAGGATGCACCCGATCAGCCGTTGGAGTACCGATGGTGCTCTAAAGGCAGAACTAAATGCGGTTCTACAGCCCTTACCATGGAAGACTTCCAAAGGTCCCCTATGGTATCATCCGATACTTCTTCATCTATCGATACAATTGTTATTCTACAAGAAGAATTGAAAGATGGACTAATGGAAAAAAACCACCTGGAGATGTCGATTGAATCTACCTCTCAGGAATTTATCAAGCAATGTTCAAATCCGGAGTGGTTTGGATATAAGAGCAAACAGGAATTGCAGACGGATCTTGCTTTGTTCAACCCTGGACGTCAGTTGAACGACACTGTCCTTCGTCAACTTCTCGAATTGATATCCCTCCCACACGGTTACGTTGTCGTTGAGTCTCTTGGACTAGACCTTTCGAGACTATCCACGGAACATATACGCAACGACGATGTCAAGGGACTCGTTTTCCCGTTTCATGTGAACAAATCGGATCCTTCGAGCACCGCTGATCGTGATCATTGGGCGATGGGCATCCTTGATCTAGGAAGGAAGTTGTTCACTACTTACGATTTACCAGAAGACCTGTCTCTGGAATACAAATTCTCTTTGGAATGCGCGTTACAAGAAGAAAGTTCAACCCATTCTGTTTTAGAGCTGAATGTTCAACCTGTAGGTCTTCTATCCTTTTGCTCAATAGTTTAATAGGTTATTTGCATAATCGACTAACACTTATTTTTAGCTACCACCAAATCCAGATGGGCAATCCTGTGGCTTTTGCTGTTGCCTTGCGCTAGAGTGCTACCTTGATGGTATTAGCCACGATGAGAAGACACGCGAGACCCTTCGATTCCGTTATCTCTCAAAGTTGGTACAGCATTACGAAACTTCTGCCCGTCTTAGCAAGGTCCTTCCATATTCGCAACCAATGAAAGTAACAGCAGCGTTAAGCTTGATTGAGCTACCTCAAATCGACACTGGACCTCCTACGCACAGTCATGAATTCTCAAGCGAGTGTTTGGATGACATAGAGATGGAAGAGACCTCTAGAAATACCCTTAGAGAAGCACTTGCATCTACGGAGGCATCAATCGATTTGGAACGCAAGGCTCGGCTGGCGCAAATGATCATGCAATGCTCCTCTAATGATTTCCCTAAAATCAATGACTGGAAATTATCTGTTGCCGAAAACACTAACCTGGCTGCTCAGAATTCTGTACGGACAATCCCTATGGTAATGGAAGAAATTTCACGAAGCAAAGAAGCCTTCTCCGCTCCAACTCTGCATCAACGCCGGCTACTAATAGAGCTGGCTGTTATGTATGAAATCCAAGTTCGAAAGGAAGTCGAGCACATGCAGACAGTCCGAAAACTAAGGAGAAGGGCACAAGCAAATGGAGAAAAGGTAGAGCCTCTTTCAAATAGTGGCAAGACGGCCGAGAATAGAGTTCTAGACAGAATTATCTGGCAAAGTGCATCTGGAGATCGGATTTCTTATAAAAACCAGCAACTTGGATCCAAGGAGCGATTCCGCCTGAGGGAGCGAATAGACATCGGCCAGAAATTGTGTGCTATCGTACTACGACTTGGCCCAGGAGCTTTATTTGGCTTACCAGCTACCACAGTATATCCCTCAGAGATATCACTTTCCTTTGGTAAATGCTGTCACATATCTCTTTGTCAAGCAATCGAACCTCGCGAGTAAGAACCATAACCTCTATACCGTTCGCTATGCTGATATCCTCTAGTTATCATACTATGTCGGCATTAGATGTGAAGTTCTTTCTTGATTGGTTCGATAGATTGAACCCAGAATTTCTACGAAACTCAAAAACGCTCGATTTCCAGTATTTGCTCCCTCAGTACAAAGACCTAATTGTTAAGGAGTACTCTATAGAGCATCAAAATTGTAGATCATTGATGAAGAGAAAGCTGAGGCCTCCTAAATGTTCTGAGTCACGCCTAAGAGCAGAAAAGAAGCCAAGGAACTTGACTGATAGCTCTTGACGTTTAATGGATTTGCGTTGTTGATTTTTAGGTTTCTAGATTTAGTAGGCGGATTATTAGAGAAGCGAACTACAGCACTACAGTTTTGAGCGCTAACTTCTATATTGTAAATGTCTCTAAGTAGTTAAAGTAAATAAAGCCTGTCTCCGTCCATGGACTTAGAATACTCTTGGTTTCCATAGTCCTGTCGTAGGTCCTATTTCCATCTTGTAGCTACTATGTCAGAGCACCAACCGACGAAGAGAGTTCGACTCGTGGAGCAACAGCCTTCTGACGGAGGTCTATCGCAGAGCGTCTCCCAGGAGACTGCCTTAACATGCCCAAAGTCCCTTACGCTACCGATACCTTCGTCTTACAATCATGCCCTGGGCAATCTAAAGGGTAACTTCCAAGGAAAAGCCTTCCAACAACATGGAAAAAGTTGGATTACGTTGATTAGTATTGAGTATCAATTATCAATTAGGCGTAGGGGTATATCCGCTATAGATTGGACATCAAAAAAGCTCCCAGAAGTTCGTGATGACACTGCGATACTAGAGATTATCGAGAGACTGTTAAACGCAGCTTAGTAGCAATTTGAGATCCGTGTTTAACTAGTATAGTTACCATTAACTATTCACACCATTGCTACTAAATTCATATCTATTTATCTAAAAAATGCATGAAGTATGTTAATAAAAATGTTTACCAAATTCGAGAAATGAAAATTGAAGCGCTGTGCCACGTTTCTGGAAAGTGAACGCAAAAGTTCACTAGTAAATACTCTTAAAGCTTGCTAGGCAGCATTATAATAGTTGGAGTTGAAGGCAATGGGCATAATTAAAAATATGATTACTTATCTTTTTGTTTGTATCCAGCCTTTCCGCAGATCACTATTGTGTATGCTTCGTCCATCCGATATTACACGATTGTTATTGGCAGTCCAATGCAAACTAACTAACGCTGAGCGAGACCGATATATGAATATCTTAGATGAGATCTTCGAGGACTCTTCCCCAATAGTAGCAATGCAGAAATCAGGTCTTAGAATTCGAATGTTTGGCGCAGATCTCGCGGCTCTTCAGGACCAGCTAATGGATCCCAATACTTGCATGAACTTCAAAGACCCTCAGCGTCCATTACACGTGTTTATTCTAGTTAATGATATCGTGGATAGTTCGGCCACACTGGTACGGGATTACCGCCCTGATGAAGAACAAGGATTTGTTCCTGACGACATGCCTTTCTCCCAACTCCAAGAAATCTTCGGCGACAATATAGCCGACCAAATATCTTCATTCTCCCCATTTGTTCTCTGCGCACCCTATCTCACTGGGTCGATGCCGAGTGCAGTACCTGGTTGGATCCCAATGTTCAACACTCGACCTTTTATCAATGTGCGCGCATATATTTCTACCTATAACGACTGCAATGGAAGACTCCTATTGATGGACCGAACTCTTATGGGCCGCGTCTTTGGATACAACAATTCCCAAAGCCCTTTTTTGCATATCGTCGATTCGACTGTTCCATGCTACCACTACCACCCAAAAGGGTTGTCCTTAGAGCATTTAAGAGCGGAGTTATCGTTGAATACGCTACAGGATATGTTTGCGGCAGCAATGCAGGAACCAAGAAGGCCTAACGATGACTATCTAGTGGTTAATACCTTGCATCCACTAAATGCATCAATTACAGTTAGGATAAAGCAGTGAAGTCGATTTTGGAATGTGGTTTTTGGAAAATTATCTTGCTCAAGACGTATATAGCTGTTGCATAATCTATAGAACATAGACAACTATGCCTCTCTCTCAACTCCCAGCAGAAATAGCAAACAATATTAACGTCCATCCCTGAGTGCTGGGACACCCGCCGTGCTGGGACAAATGAGGGGTACTTTGACTTTCGACACTTCGCTTTCTTCACACATTCTAATATTCGCTATATATTTAAATTGCCTATAGTGTATAGCTATTAGTAGATCTATCCCAATCCTCCCAACTAAAAATTACGTAGCTATTAATGCTCTTTTTGCAAATGTTACAAACAGCCTTTCCCATGTGAATAACAGCGTTACTCTGTTATAGCACTGCTTAGAAGTTTTCACTACCTATCGCATATAAAGAACGTTAGTATCCAGCCCCAAGCGCCTCATATTAACGTGGCAAGCTATCATCAGCTTCGCGCCTGCTGTAATGCCCAAAGCTATACAGGGTCGCCACGAGGATCGCTACTTCGGCTAGCGATAAGCGATCCTACATGCATAACGTAATTAGCTCAAGTTAGTTAACTAGTGTAATTTATCAACTATAGCTAAAGACCTTGTAGCTATGCACAGCCTCGTCTCTTTAGCAGATACTTAAATAATCTACACTCTGGTGTTAAAAAAACAATCGAAGCAACTACTAACAGGGCTAGGCGAAACGAAAGCTACTTCTCTATATTTATAATCATTGTAAAGTTAGCCTAACTAATATAAGAGACTACTAGTGTTTTAAGCACCACTACGTGCTCTAGCATTAATCTAACATTAATACATCCGCGCCACGGGCGCCCTCTATGGCCCTATAACTTCGCTCATCATTGCAGCTTGAGTGATTAGCTCTAGTTCACCTAACTCCTTCTAGGCAGCCTCACGCTTACAACCACGCTTTGCTTTACCTCTTTCCACCACAGCCTTTTCTTTAGCAGCACGCTTTGCCCGTGCCTCCTGCAAGTCCTCATAGCTCATCACCTTCGCCTTCCCCTTCCCTAGCACGACTAATCAAGTCGTTCAGCAGACCTTAGCCTCTCCATTAATCTTAGCCAACAGTCGATTGTGGTCCTACAGAAGACCTTATTTAGCGAACAAGATTTAAGCCGCGCTCGCCAGTTTCTGTACTCATCTCTATAGGCGTTATTTGCTTAGTTCGTCAAGCGTAGATATATCCTATTTAATTAGGTCATAAAGCGACACTAGACCTTCTATATTTACTAGCGTTACAGGTGTTACAGGCATTTCGTCCCTAGGGTCAGATCGTATAACCTCACTAGCTATAAAAACCATAAGCTCCGCAGGTAGCTTTAGCATATCTTAGAGTACTCTTTCTAGATTAAAAGGCAGCAAGCCACTTACAGCCCAGGCGGCCTTAATATTCCGCCTTATAAATGCCTTAGTCCTTGCAAGATCATATAGCAAAGTGAAGTATTCCTTACCAATTGTGTCTATGCCACCTCTATTTAGTCGCTCAACCTAGTCGCGATAGGCTGTCTTTAAGAGCGCGAATACTCCAACGTCGCAGGGCTGCAGCTTATAGAAGGTGTGAGAGGGGAGACAGCATAGCATAATATTGTTACTAAGGCAAAATTCAAGGATTTCTAGCGTTTCGTGAGTGCCAAAGCCATCGCAGATCAGCACCCACAGTTTACCGTCAGCCAGGTCTCTAGTTTAGGGATTAAAAGCACGCGTAAGCCACTCCAAGCTAATCTTAGAGTCATTATAACCGCTCTTAGAGAACCCATAGTGCCATCCAGATATGGGATACGTAGTCCAGTTACTTCGGTGCGTCAAGGCTGGCCAGATAATGAGAGGTAGCAGCGCCCTACCGTCAGCGCTTATGCACTCGACAGCAGTCACCATCGTCCGCTTCATACCAGTACCTCTATAGTCGCGTCTATCGTCCTTACCTACCAGGACTTTGACAGAGCCAAGCTTACTTAGCATAACCCCTGTCTCGTCCATATTATACACGTTCTCTAGCAGTACCGCTGCATCCTACAGCACCTTGCCAATTATCTAAAACCACTCTACAGTCTTATCGTATATATTATTCTCATAGCGCTTCCAGTCTATTGACTTGACTCGTCTCGCTTTAAGTTCAGGGTGGCGTTTCTCGAAGGCGCGAGCCCAGTTCTTGCCCAGAGGCTTGATCGGCTTATTAGTCGTCGTAGACCACCGGCGTGCGATACTAAAGGCTAGCGTAGGTACGTACTTAATCCGAACCAGTTACCCAAAACTAGACATTAGTAGCAAGAATAAAGCAAGTGCTTTCTCTTCCTCGACAGTCAGGTATTACTAGCGCTGAGCTTTTACTTCTTTCAACGTTCCTCCGTGCCTACGACGATAAAGGGTAGAGCGAGGGACATTACTCTTCTCCACCATAGTACGATATGTCTCACGCTAGTCAGAAGAGAAGGCTTCAGCCAGTACTTAACTAGCTGGATCCATGGCCGCAAGTATATTGCTATACCAGCAAAGGGGTGGTAACAAGCAGCCTCGATATAGCCAAAGCGCGTCCTGTCGCTTTGATGACATACGGCAGAGAACGAGCGGAGCTTATTCTAAAAATAGCAAGCGCACGACGCAGCTTTGAATGGCGCTTTAATACTGTACCTAACCAAACAAGTTATAGAAGTGCTTAAACGATCGCACTATAGTGCAGGCCACCAGATAGGATAATATTTGTGTAGTATTCCGCTCGCCTTTCAAGTGCGCAGTAAGAGTGGGCAAGCGGGCTCTAGCGAAACGTAGTTCCAAAGCCTTTCCGACCCTACGCCGCCCGCAATGCAACAGCGCTTAGCTATGCCACTACTCTCAGCCGCAGCTGAAGATAGATTGCCGCGCTTCTCTTAATCTAAAAGCGGCCTTGCTGCTCCATCAGCCTACAACAGCGCAAGGCGCGATTGACCAGTTTACTTCATCTCAGTCGCAGACCTCACGTTATGGACGGCCTTTCGGGCGCAGCAAGCGTCATCGCAGTGATCGACATATCCGCCAAGATTGCCTCGCTATGCGTCCAGTACTCTATGGCCGTAAAGGACGCGAAGGGCGATATCGAACGTGTGCAGAGAAAAGTTAGCGACATCAACCACGTGCTAAAGAAGATTAAGCAGCTCCTCGACAGCCAGGACAAGACTCGGCTCTCTGCCCCCCAAGGCCTGTTAGACTCGCTCGAACAATGCCTGAACGAGTTGGAAAGCTTAGGTGTGAAGCTAGAACCGGGAAAGACCCGCAAGACTATAAGCCGGTTTGGTTTACGTGCGCTTAAATGGCCGTTCACGAGCAAGGAGGTAGACAAGATCGTTTTAAACTTAGAAAGATACGAACAGACCTTTGGCTTAGCGCTACAGATTGATCAGACGTAAGCTTCTGTATACAGATACGTCGTGCGTAGAAACAGCTTCTCACTGACTATACAGAGCCGTTGTGTTCAGCATAGACCAGAAGCTGGATCTGGCCAAACTGCCTGTCGCGATAGGCGCCTCCTTCAATTCCCACAACGAAGAGCACAACGCACGATGCCTACCAAACACCCGCACCGAGCTGCTAGACGAGATCACAACATGGGCGAACAATAAAGATGGCAAGTCTATATTTTGGCTGAGCGGCATGGCAGGCACAGGAAAGTCAACAATTGCGCGGACGGTCGCTCAGTCGTTCGCCAGTCGAGGGCAACTTGGAGCCAGCTTCTTCTTCAAGAAAGGCGAGGGCGAGCGCGGCAACGCCTCACGGTTCTTTGCCACCATCGCTACCGACTTGGTGGTACACGAGCCCGGCATGCTACCTGGCATTAGGAAGACGCTCGACGAGGACTCTACGATCTCACACAAGGCTCTAAAAGACCAGTTCGAGAAGCTGATCCTAGAGCCACTATTGGGAATAAAGCAGGCTCGCTCGCAGGCCTTAGCGCGTGTTGTCGTGATCGACGCGCTGGACGAATGTGAGCAGGAAGCAGACATTCGGGCGATACTCCAGCTGCTTGCTCGGACAAAAGACATTCGCCTAGTGCCGCTGCGGATCGTGGTGACTAGCCGGCCCGAACTCCACATCCGCCTCGGCTTTAAGGAGATGCCGAACGGCACATACCAGGACCTCATCCTCCACGAAGTACTAAGAAGCACGATTGAACACGATATCCGTCTGTTTCTAGAGCATAAGTTCGCCATGATACGAAAAGAGCGCAAGTTGGCTTCAGACTGGCCAGCGAAGCAACAGATCCTCGCGCTCGTTGAGCTGGCTGTGCCGCTGTTCATCTACGCTGCCACTGTGTGTCGATATGTCGGTAGCAAAGGAAGCAATCCTATGGCTTTTCTAAATAAGGTCCTGCAGTATCAGAAGGCAACCTTTTCGCAGCTAGATCAGACGTATCTCCCTGTGCTCGATCAGCTGCTTAGTGAGCAGGAGGAAGACGAGAAGGAGACGTGGCTTCAGGCTTTCCGAGAAGTTGTTGGTAGTATTGTTGTTCTCGAAAGTCCACTCTCTGCCATCTCGCTTGCCCGCCTATTACAAGTTCCACAAGAAGAGATCCAGTGTCGTCTTGACCCTCTACACTCTGTTCTTAGTGTTCCTAACAATAAAGACGCGCCTATTCGTCTTTTGCACTTGTCCTTTCGCGAGTTCCTCCTCGACCCCAAAAAGCAAGGAGAGAGCCCGTTTTGGGTGGATGAGAAAATGACACACCAGAAGCTTGCATCTCGCTGCCTCGAGCTTATGTCTGGATCTGGCGGTCTTCATCAGGACATGTGCGGCCTTCCAGGCCCTGGAGTACTAAGGAGCGAGGTAGATGAGCAGACAGTTGCTACTAGGCTGCCACCTGATCTACAGTATGCGTGTCGCTACTGGGTTGACCATCTCAAGCAGAGTGGGCAAGGCATTGTTGACGGAGACGCCACGCACCTCTTTCTACGGAAGCATCTTCTTCATTGGCTTGAGGCTATGAGCCTTATAAGAGAACTGAGTACATGCATTAACTTGCTCGACAGCCTTCAGACGCTTACTAGTGTAAGACTTTTAAAAGACACCTTTCTCTTACTCTACTAACGTACGACGCAGGCACATACAATACTAGTTTCAAGCTTTCTCCATGACGCTAAGCGGTTCGTGCTGCGGTTCCGGTCTGTGCTTATAGACGCACCGTTGCAGACCTATTACTCGGCGTTAGTATTCGCACCAGAGAAGAGTGTGATACGACGAACATTTATAGGCCAAGTGCCAGAAAAGGTGGAGATGCTATCTAAGAAAGACGTAGACTGGGATGCGTGTCGCAGCACGCTCGAGGGCCATTCCGCCTATGTCGCCGCGGTAGCCTTCTCGCCAGACGGGCAGCTGGTCGCATCAGCATCTTGGGACAAGACAGTACGGTTGTGGGAGGCGGCGACAGGGACATGTCGCAGCACGCTTAAAGGCTTTTCTGAGTACATCACCTTTATCAATTTCTCACCAAATGGGCAGGTACTACACACAAACCAAGGCGATATTCCTTTGCCTCAAGCCTCTGTTAGTACATCGCTCTTGAGGCCGACGCAGCAGTCCTCGTACATTCTAGTGCAGAATCAGTAGATATTACGCAACTAACAACGTTACTTATGGCTTCCTCCAGAGTATCGATCATACTCAACCACAGTACGCGAGGACAGAGCTTGTCTGGGGCTTGTATCTGGTCGTGTGGTTCTGCTTAGGATTCTCTAGTATCACGGTTATACAGATTCGCTTTAATACAAAGTATAACTAGTGTAGATTCTCTATTATAAAGCAAATAATCGCCGTCTAAGTAGTAGAGGTCTTGCTATTAACAATTTCTCTCAAGAGCGACGTCCGCGTTCGAGTTCATATCTAGACCGCCCACTAGGGCTGCGCCATAGCCCTAGAAGCCGCTAGCGATACATTACGTAAGGGTAATTATATAAGATATGCAGAGCGGCTTAGCGCGAACCGAGGTACCAATCATGACCGCGATTTTGCATAAACATAGGCATTGCAGGCGCTACAAGGCTGAACGTAGCTTACGGCGTTACTACAAGGCCTTTAAGACATAATAGTAATCTTTTAGAGTTTTTAAGGCGCTATAAGCTTCTATATAGCGCTGTAGTAAAGTAATGCTATTATATACAGAAGGATAGTCTGCTATAACTTACGCAAGAAGAGTAGCAATAGCAATGTAATTTTTAGTTAGATATGTTAAAATGTATTAATAGATAGCTCTAGTATACGACTATCATAGTTTTCTCGAGATTTTTAGCGTGCGCACAGAAAGCGAAGTGCTGAAAGTCAAAGTACCCCTCATTTGTCCCAGCACGGCGGGTGTCCCAGCACTCAGGGAGGGACGTTAGTGAATATCTTTGCGTCAGTGAAATCGCCAATCTTAATTTGGTGTCTAGACACCTTCGTGGTCTCTTTGTACGATCTCTTTACGAGCGAGCGTGTTCTTACCAAACAACACCATGCACTATTTTAACAAGAAATCTCGAAAACATAACGTTCTGGTACGGAAGAAATAGCGCTACATCCGTGATTGACTGGGCTGCTGCCAATCAGCGAATGTACACTTTTCAACAATTACTTCATGTACCAGGGATCGATCTACACCAGAAGGATGTTTATGGGGTAACGCTTCTTCACCGACTATGCGCACAAAATCTTGTTTCTTATATCAGAATTCTTGTCGCTACTCTAAGAAAGTTGCACATGGATCCATTTTGCTGCGATCTCTCACTCCTGACACCGCTTCATTATGCTGCTGGTCGAAACATGAAAGAGGCAGTAGCACTGCTTATAAAAGAGGGTGCGGACGTATCAGCTAAAGATAACCATGGTAATACACCTTTACATCTTGCCGCCGTGACTGGGTCATGTGAAGTCATATCATTGTTAGTCCAAGCGGGCGCAAACCTATCGTCAGAAGCTCGGTTTGGGTGGATTGCTATTGATCAAGCAAGCATTAGTCAAAAACACAATGCCGTAAAGTTACTCTTATCACTAGGATCGCCATTGCCTTCTTGGGAGAAGAGGAAGTACGCACTATCGGAATTTGTTCGGTTGTCGCCTTGCCCACTTGACTGCTACATCTATCATACAGCGCTTTCGTGAACGCAACAAAGAAAGAGAAAGAGTCACCACTTCTTTAGAATCCGAGAATACGTTCTTGAAGAATTTGTTGGATGGTATACAATAGATTAGTCAGATATAGTAACTCGTTTTTCGTTTTTGGTTTTTCCAACCGAATTATAACTGCCCAATTAACGTCTATATAAATGTATGTATATATACCGCAACGATGCACAAGCATACCTAGAGAACTATCAGCCCAGGAAAATGTGTATCGTTTTCCTAGTCAGGCGCACAGGCGCACAACGACAGCCCATAGAGGACAATATCTCCTTCCGACAACAATGGGGAATTGCACTTCGACGTCCCATCAGCAGCTTTTTCCAAAACCACAACGATCTGGAAACTAGCCAACCAAGGTCTTCGGGCCAACCACCCCCACCATACCGCTACGAACACGCTTTAGGCAGTTCTGAAACCTCATTGAGCGAGGCAGAAACCCTGTGGCCAACACCAGTTGAGAGAAATGCTTCTCTTAACGTAAACGTTATCGAGTCCGGTAGTTAAGTATATAGAAAATATATTCAACCCGTAGTTGTTTTAAACGATATTGTGCAAAGTTTTTATAAGTATTTAGCCGTAATCTCTTCATAGCCCCTCCGATTAGTAGTTCTAGTAACGTACGTCCACGCGTATGGACCACCCACCGTAACAAACCAATTTAAAGGTACTTGGATTTTAAAATGAAATAAAATCTACGGTCATTGTATCATGAGGCTGAACCTCTTAGGCTGCATACTTAGTTAGATATCTAATTAGCCCATAACGTGTGATCGTTGGGCCATTCCCCATGCTAGCCCTGCGTGACGGAACAGAAAGCCAAGTCGCCAAAATAGCCGGACTATCCTGAATAAGGTATTTTGCCTCCTTAGCGCACAATCAAGTCAAGCGCACTTAAATATTCCGAATTGACCTGCAACGCCACAGTCTTGCTCCATGATCCTTTGTCTCAAAATACAGCCGCATCAATGACCGAACCATACATGATTAATGTGGGCGGCCGCTCATTCACTACGCTCAAGTCTACACTTGAACGATCACCATTCTTAAACGCAATGCTCTCGAATCAGTGGGCTGGGAGTACTTGTTACGTTAGCGGGATGCCTTTCGTCGATCGAAGTCCCCTTCTATTCGAACATATCCTAGACTTCTTACGAAGCTCTGTACCTCCAATTTTCTGGACTCGAACAAATGGCTTTGATCTGCCTTTATATGCGAGCTTAATCCATGAAGCCGAGTATTTCCAACTCGAAGCGCTTACTACTTGGATTCGAAATGAAGAGTACATCAACACAATTTTAATCACCTCATCTATAGATGTAATACCATTGAGGGAATGTAGTGATGGAAAGTCGCATCTGGGCAACATCGAGCAAGAGTTCGAACCTGGGGAAGTATCGACTGCATCCAGATCTGGCAAATCTACGACTTATTGCAAACGACTCCTCCTACGGAAGAGTAGATTGCGACTTCCTGTTGGTGCTCAGGCGCTTACCTCTACGTATATCCTGGCTGATACAGGCGGTTATAGGAAATTCTCTGATTTGATCAATGACCTTAAGATACTCCACTGCGTTTATAGAATGACAGGAGTCAGTTCTTTCCTGTACGCCTACTCGACCTGTCCACTAACACTTTTAGGCAGGTACTACTAAGTGCTATCAAAGGTAAATATTTTCTCTGAATAGAGTGGCCGTGATGAAAGGAAAATAAGGCCGTAAGCGCAAGACGCCTGCAACAGAATAAAGAGAGGCGGGTCTTTGAGCGCTCAAGGGAAGAAGTCGAGCAAGCAAATTCTATGACGATGTCATAGGGAGCTCCAGTATTGGAGATGCATTCATGTTAGGAATAACAATGTGCTTCATGGATAAATAACGTTACTTAGTCTGAGCGAACTAAGAGACAATCATTCGCCACGTGATTGAACATGACCAACGTCCATCCCTATGTGCCGGGACTCACAGTGTAACGGGACACTTTCTCTTCCGGACCCTCGGACTGTCCGCAACATGCTTGTATATAGACAAGCGTAGTGCGCATATACTCTAGAGCTCTTACTCTTTTAGCACATCGGCCACCGATGCTAAAAAGCGAGTTGTCGACCGTGCTATCGCTCGTTCTATTGATGCTGTCGAATAACTCTCTTCTAATACCCCTTGCTCCTCCGCGGTTGTACACTTCTGCGAACAGCTCGGTAGGCTACGAAGAAAGCTGGGATAGCAAAGATTAAGACTGCAGTCTTAAAAGGTCGATTTAGAGCAACAAGTATACATCCCGGCAGTTTCTCCGCGTAGTTAGTAAGATCGCCAAAACGCGTCCTCTAAGACATGCGCTGTTAGTAGCACTTGGCATGCAGAACAGATTTGACACTATGCCCATAACAGAAGCTGCCAAACACAGTTGTGGCGCATGCCAACAGCTCTTCGTAGTTAAGCGTTTATGATTAACTAGCTAACTAACCATATAACATCCCTCCCTGTACACGGAAAACCGGGTGGACCAGAACCCGCCAATAAGAGCACAGTCAGCAGACATCATGGCACGGCGACGTGTTTCATTGGCTGGTTCCGGCCCACTGGATTTTGCGTCACTCAGAGCGAGGTTATCGAATCTGCTCGCATTAGTTAACCCTACAAGCAACGTGAATACAACGCTTAGGATCTACTAAGTAGCAGTGATTCTCGAGCTTTGTATGCTGCAAAGATAGCCTAAATACCTATACGTATCCCACCCACGTCCATAAGATAGAGATGATAGAAAGATAGACCAATCAATTGATGCGCTAACTATAGATTATGCCGAATTCAGCCTTACTCCGCCATAGACGGGCAGTGCGTCTGCCTAGATCCGTTGCGCTGGAACAACAGTAGCAGCCTTAGGGAGCAGTTCTGCCTAATCGACATTTGTATAAGTTCCTATGTTTTGTAACATTGCTCATTTACAAGAATTTCTTTATCTACAATCGTCTTTATCAACCCTAATTTACCCTATGGCATCACCGCTAGTAGACCTTCCACCACGACCAGAAAGAGCCCGTGTTAAACACTCGGAGGAAATCGCTGTGGGAGCGACCGGGTTCCAATCTGTTCTACACAATAACCTAAAGAAATCCAAGGAAAGAAAACGGCAACAGGCTATGCACGAAGTTTTACAGAAGCCGTCCTTATCAGAGCCGTCCAACTTGCCCAAAGACTCTATCTTCACTTACTTCCAGGAGGAAACTGAGAAAAAAGACGGTGCGAGCTGTGTGTTCTTGCTGTGGGGTTCTGAACACTCTGAAAGCTTCAAAACCTGGGCTATAGACGTTGCAATTACCGACGTTGAAGATGAGTATGAAATCTTCAAGTCGTTAAAGAAGAAATATGATGAAGAAGTTGGCCTCCTAAAGAGGTGCTTTTCCTTCCGAAAAATTAGTAGACTTAAGCCCGTCACTGTATATTCTCACCGCCTTATAGCATGTACACCTGCGCTAAGACTACATATAGTTCCGGTTGATCTGCCATCCCTCAAAAAGGTTCTTAGCCTTCGTTGAACCTTTAGACCTAGACAGCTTGTACAAGAGCTACTCTAAGCAGCAGGAAGAAGCAGCGAAAGCTATTGAATTGATAACAGACTTCGATTCGACCGATTTTCCGGATGTCTGCTATCGCGACAGCTCTGGGAAATACCATCATTGCAACAGTGATTGCCCAACCAACTCTTCAAAGCTCTCTGGTTATTCAACCTGTCCTTTCGAGAAATGGTACAATTGCAATGATCAGATACGTTGGATTAAAACCGTGCCTTTCCTTTCTTGCTACTTCCGCAATCCGGCCGGTGCAAGCTCTCAAAATATACTCAATGGCATCAATAACCATCAATTCATCTATTACTATAGGCAAGTCTCAAATACATGTGCCATGAGACCCGACTAACGTTAATATCACCAGGAACATCAATTTCTCAGTCAATGACTTCCAGCCACAGAACAGATATCTAGAATTAGATGGCTTATACGTGGAGACTGCATGGTGTCCTAGAAAATGTCTCTATGTATTTCTAGGTGTCCTCTTTTCTGTAGTAACCGGAGGAAAACTTTTCTGGGGCAGCTGGGAGGTAACCTTCAGTGCTGGAAGCTTCATCGTCGCTTTGCCGATGTTAGTATTGACGGTACTTAGTTACTATGATGTCTGATGGATAGAGAAAGTGACCAAAGAAAGAGTGTAAAAATTTACTGTTTAGCTTTTCTTATATTAGCTTGTGTAGAGAGAATGAAACCGATCTTCTTATGAGCACACAGCGGACAGAATGGATGAATATAGATATCTGAGATCTAACTAGATCTTAGCCGTAGCTTTGGTATTTGCATTTGTTGTAACAGGAATAACACTATGATTTTAAGCGGGTATGAATAGTAATTAATAAAGGTCTGCATAATTTATAAACATAGCTATTACATAGTGTACAGGAAGAAAAAGCTCTGTTTATAGAGAAAGCAATTTTCCGACTTAATCACTGCAGCCTATCTTGATGTGCTTGCTCTCCATGCAAGTGAATCTTTTTTCAACTACGCTAATGTTTGTTGCTGCTTCTCGCAAGGTACGTGAACGCCATCTCGTCTACATCTATTCCTCCAGTGTTTAAAACTGTCACGTAATGGGTATCCCGTTATCACCGAAGCTGGTAGTCGTAATGTAGCCATCGTATTGGTGCTTTAGATAACGCATCGACTCGTGTGGATGTGTGGTAGGCTTGCGGTAGTAAATAAACCTGAGAGGCCTGGGGTGACCGCCCAGTATAACGAGAGTGCAATGATCGTATTGTGTACTTTACAGGTCAATGTAAGAGGAAGGTAATAGATAGCTGCGCGACTCCAAACGTGTTAACTATAGAACTGCGTTTTGCGAGGCGCGAACTGAAAAGAACGTATTATGTGTATTCCTGGTCTGGCAGCGGTATCGCCCGGTTCTTGTTTGATCAGACATCCATAGAAGAAACTGGACAACCGCATCATCTTCTTACTACGGGCTGAGATATCATTGACTCTGAGCCGTCTCTTTTACCGAGCCGTACCTTTAGACACGAGCATGAAGGGTAGAGCGAGGAACCTCGCCATGGTCCGCAAGAGCACGATGAGATTTGGGAATGGCAGGCGGAAGAGTAGAGGTAGCAGAGTGCACACGCTGAGGCATATTAGGCAGCTCAAACGGCGGCCAAGGTCGCGCTACAACAGCGAGGCTGAGCACCTGGCCGTAGAGGCTTCCAGAAAGCCGCCGGCATGCGCCACGACTATTCTTAGCAGCTGACCTATGCAGGCATAGCGTTGAATTCTTTACGATAGCATACAGCGACATCTGAGCACGCTACTGCAGGCAGCCTGCATGACAAGAGACGCTAGTGGATTTCGATGCGCTGGCATGCTTTTGGCGATCATCGTTTTCGTCGGCGAAACTGCTGGACTGTATACTTGTTAGGCTGAAATACCCTTTGGATCTTGGAGATCTATTCTTTCTGAAATTTAATTCCTAATAGACCTTTCGATCTTTTCAGGAAACCTCTATATTATGGATAGACAGGGGTATAGTGACAAAAAGTCTTTTGACAGCGTTGACGAGATAATCAACAGCAAGGGCAACATCGCGAAAACTAGTGCCGGGGTTGATGCCCTAGGAGAAAACCAGCTCTGGAACATTAACACGCCAACTATAGGTCGATTCATATACAGATCAGAGAAAGCAAGGCTCCGAAGCGAAAACTGTCTCGTTACACCGTGCGTCCCGGTACGTAGGGACGGACGTTAGAAGAGTAAGAGCTATGGAGTAGATACGTACAGCGCTTATTTATACATAAGTATGCTACGAGCAGTATAAGAGTCTAGAAGAGAAAGCATCCCGTTACACTGTGCATCCCAGCACATAAAGATAGACATTACGTCAAGTTAGCATTGCTAACAGCTATTCAGAGATACTTGTTACAACTTACAGCCCAATAAGCATAATAGGTTAACGGCAGATATGACGACAACGAGCACGGTGGCTAGTAACAGTTATTAATTACGAACTATTATATACAGAATGCCTCGGACAATAGCATAGCAGGATTTAGATAGTTATTTTCAAGTTATAAAATACATGAACTAGGAAGTTCCTTCTAGGCAATACTCTTAGTTCAGTATGAGAACACGCGTAAGCCACCGATTGCTAACAAGCGATATGTGATGTTGGACTACTTGAGCGAGCTAGGATAGTAGCTAGCTCTAAGTGACGAACGGAGTCTTCTTGCCGCCAAGATATACCCAAAATTTGGAGATCCTGAGTCAAAAGTGGAACAACTGGCCTAAAATCGGACAATCTTTCTATCGTGCGGGAGTAAAGTATGTTCATCGCCGCTTCCGAGAGTTTCAACTGGTTGCTAATAAGTGGATAGATCTTGGATGAGCGTATAGCACGAAGGAGGAGGACCGTTTTGAACTCTCTATATACGATCAGTCTGAGATATATTTTACAGATGATGGAATTACTTACGAGTGAAGTGTGTCCACAGGATTGCTTAACGCTACCCGAATGCTACTTGTGCTTCTACAAATCTCATACACGCTGTTGGGATCTGCGCCAATACGGTCAAAGGAAATGATATTCGATACAGCGTGCTGCTCCCAATCGATGACAAGTTGGAGAGTCCCTTGCTGGAATTTGGTTAGCTCTCTAGGAGCGTTAAACTCAGGATGTTCAAGAATGCTCAGGTACGGTCTCAACAGCTCAGCCATACCCTTGTGGTACTCTGCTCGTAGAGAAGCCATGATGGCATTAGTCGATGGGGGCTCTGCATCATCCCATACTAGTTTCGGCAACAATTGCGCCCTCCAATTCTCGAGCTGTTGAGTCTGTCTCCTCGCAAGGTCCACCAAACTCTGGAGGCTTTCTTCATCAAATGTCTCGATCGAGGCGAAGCCTGGTGACAGTGATGTCTGTACAGCTTCGAGTAGTGAGCGCAATAAGACTTTCGTCCAGAAAACTATCTCTGGAAGGTCATTTATATTCCATTCCAGTAATAGCGCATTCCAGTACCTAGAATGCAGAGGAAAGGAGACCACATTGAGGCAGTTGTCAATGCCACTAGAAGGAGTTAGAAAAGTGCATACACTTATATTATATACTAACCCTAACAGGCGCTGGAAAAGCCAAAAACTTCTCATTGCTTCTACGGGGAGAGAGTTGGTGCTATCTTTAGTAGATGAGACTTGATTTTCAGCAAATGCTCTGCTTACTGTTAGTCTAAACAGTTAGATAACAATAACTTAACTCACCTCTCTGCGTTATCTGTGTAGATGCAGTGAGATTGATGTAGGTGAGCCCAGCTGTCTCCTAGCATGCCATTTTGGTTGCTGTATAGTGCAGCTAGAGTCAAGGCTTGAGCATATGCGATACTACGCTCGTGATGTTTCTGCCCGAGAATTTGTTTCGCGTAAGTGTAATACACCATACCTCGTGTGGTAACAGGGCGGGATGCATCATCTGTGGTTGAGAAACAGCTCCCTAGTGCAAGAAAGAGAAGTACGTGGGCGTTCCTGAGACTCGAGCTGATGTAGTCCCTCCGTAATGGGGCGCTACAGATATAATTGATAAATGCGTCGCACATCTCCTGGGGTTTGTCAAAAAAGGGATGCAAAATATGCACATGTTCTAAATAAGATTTAGAAAGAAGGAGTAGATCTTCGCGCAGGAATAGCCTGGTGCTATGTTCTTTCATGAGATCAATTTGTGCAACATGGGAATAAGAACTTTCACTTTTGCGAAGTTCGCTTTTCCAGTCCCGAAATTCTTGAGCCATCCTCTCAACAGTCTTGCATGCACTGTCTATACGTATTTGGGAGCTAATAGAGGTCAGTTTATAAATAGAGGTAGTTACACTAGAAGGAACATACGCAGTTGGCTTAGTCTCCTGATACTCACATCGTACCTGCTTCTTAACGCATGCGCCGCATTGGGAAGCCCCGTCACATTTCTGTTTATGAAGGCTACATCGGTTGCAGGCCCTTGTGACTCGAAGTCTAGAAGATCTCGGTAGCCCTTCGCTAGTAAAACTTAGATCCTCGTTCTGTGTGTCTGCATTAGATGGGGAACGCATCTCGCTGGGAAATTAAGGCTACGGTTGACTCGAACTGTAGATGTACTAAGAGAAGGTAGTTTCTAATATTTCAATAAGAATTCAACACTTTAAATGGAGGAAGAGCGAGAATTATAAAGCATGGTATCTGACAATGACTAAGGCCTGAAGAAGTATCAGGCGGCCATTCTGCATTCCAAAAACATCTACAGGATCCTACAGCTATACACGGCTTCTCTCACCAGGATTACAGCATTACAGGCTTAATTGATATTTCAGCTCATGCATTTAAGGTTTTAACTGTGTATATGTGCAAGTGTAACTCAGATCACTACATAATTTGCCAGCCTTCCAAAGCCAAGAAGTAGTAGAAAGCGCGTTGTGCAAGGGCAGGTAGAGTTACCGCTATATTCAACGGTAAATAGTTGAATTATCCTCCGTCGGGGGATAGAGAGACTGAGGTCACATGCTAGATCTAGAATTTCTTGACTTTGGAATACATGCAAATAACCATGACTGTAGCCATTTTGCAACACAACTTGGATAAACAGAGTTAGTTCCTAGAGATGCATGCCCTGTGACATCCGCTAGGACTACACCCTCAACCATCCTTCTTATGTTGTCGTATTCTTTGGTTCTTTCGAATTTTGCTTGGAGGAACTCGTCGAAAGTGAACACAATTTCCTCTTCTATCTGACTTATCGTAGAGTTGGTTCCGAAAGATTGAGAGACGCTTAATCGAACAAAATGGGTAATGCCGTTGGACCAAGTAGCATGGTAGGCCCTTAGTTTGTACGAGGGCTCGGACTCAATTTGAACGCGTCCAATACTCGCACCATGCTTCTCTCCCACATGGAAGATGAACGGTTCGTGAAGGATAAAGATCTTGCTACATTCAATGCATTGGTAATTCCCATTATCTGTAGTTGTTAACCCTGGTGATGGATGCGATCGCAAGTACGATCCGAAAGTAAGCGTCTTACGATTAGGGAAAATGCCACCATGCTTGCTGGGCGGTTCCTGGTCTGAAGGGTTATTCTGGAAGGTTAGTCGCTTTCCACTCTACTAGAGTTCAAGTGCATACCTGAGATGTAACTATAGGAGCTTGGTCCATTGCAGCCACAAACGAGGTTGAAGCCAACATGTTTCCTTGCAGGAAGGCAACCGGTCGGCATAGGAGGACAATAAGGCAACAAATGAGGGACCATTTGCCTTGCAGGAAGTGTGCATGATATATAGTTATGCTAACTGCGCAAGATTTAGTGTTAGTTTAGGCCAATCTTCCGAGGAAATGCCCTTGCCCTAGGCTACCTGTAACAACATGAATGAAGGGAGGATAGAACATGGGCGACGTGACTATGAAGCGACTCTTGTGGCAGGAATTGCCACAAATGATGGTATAATTAGCTCCATACAGCTGACTTTGTTTCCAGAGCGCTTACAATTGTTGTGCATAAACTTGGCGTTTATCCAAGCGAAGATGTCCAATCAATCAAATCTGGGAAGCCTTGTAGAGAGTGGCTTACATGGCGTATTGAGTTTCGGGTTCAACGATCCTACGCTATACCTGATTCTCTGACCTGATCGGGTCAGAGAATCAGGTATAGCGTCCTTTCGTCAGTACAGCACCCACCGACTTCTGGACAGCCTCACTCATTTCCTCAACCACAACAATGGCAACACCCGTCGAATCATTATTAGCCATTCGAAAAGAAGACTTTGATTTCTTGATACAACATTGTTGTACTTGTTCTTGCCTGAATAGCAAGGAAAAGGTTACAGTGGAGGACATTCAGGCTGCAGTCTACCCGAAGGGATGGAGCGTGCAAACATTCAAAACTCCCCAGAAGCGAAAGAATCGCCAGTCACGGGTCAAGACAGCTGACGACTTCATGCGCTGCGTAAATCAATGGAGATTAACTCAACTCATGATCGTTACCAACCGAGAGAAATACGAAAGCATGGTTCGCGCCTTCACCCTGTCACCCACAATCACCAGTGAAGGTCACAATTCCCAGAGACTTACTGCCGAGAATCTAGTCGAACTAGGGACACATCTGGCAAGATTAGTAGAACGATCGATCAACGCACATATGGCACAGAAGTCCTTTACTCACTTCCAATCCTTGATATTCTTGTCGTACTGTCTTTATCTTACAAAAAAGGGTACCCCAAGCGAGAAAATTGACAACCTTTTGAAGGTTTTCAATAAAGACGAGAAGAAGAGAAAGCGGCTACTTGTACAAGCAGCTCAAATCAACAAAATGATCGCTGAACTTGGTAACAAGGGTTGGAACATTGTACGGGCTACAGAATTGTTCCTTATCTGTAAATTAGCCAAGCTACATACAACTGTCACAATAGCTAAACACAACTTTAGGTCCGTTTTCAGGATACGACTTGCTCAACCTCTCATTGGAAGACTTTGGAGATATCATGTCGTCTGTTTCTGATGCAAAACCCAACTTTACTGGGTGTTTAATGCCATCATATCATATTAGCTAAATATATACAAATCTCTTATAAAAAATCGTTTGCAACTACTTCTAAAGCGTGCATCTAGCGCGCT